TGATCGTAAAACCATTTGCAATGCAATCGGCACAAATTGAGTACGGCAAAAAGTGATCAATTAAATATGCGATTCATAGCTCACACACGAGTCGTAATATTGTAATAAATGTATCAGGAATTTATTAACCTCTCTGAAATTAATATTATCTAGTTATATATGCCAAAAAAAGATCTAAACGTCACGATTTATGATGAAATTAGAAAAGTGCATCAAAAAGGGATTATTTAAATGGATGATTTGAAATTTCCAATAATTTTGTTTGAAAAAAAAAAAGCTGAAATTGTGATGAATAAAGAACGTCAAAAAGTGATAAATTAGATGCGCGATTTAAAACTCACAAATCGTAATAAATGTATCGGAATCTAATAAACCACATGGAAATTGGTATTTATAAATTCCAAAAAAAACGATCGAATTTATGATGAATTGGATTTATAATGAAATCGGCAAAAATTACTCAAACTCGAAATTTGCTTATTGTAATATCGTATTAAAAATATTGTCTTTTAAAACCATGATGTGGAATTTCGTAGCAATAACCAATTAATAAGCGATCGAGAAACAATGTAGATTTACAATAGAATTAGTGCAAATTGAGCGCATTAAAAAGTGATGACACTAAAGTGCAATTCAAAATTTTCGACATTTTTTTCCTCCTAAAAAATTTCATTGCGTTCTGAATCATAGAGTTGAAATAGTAGGTATTTCAACTCTATGTTCAGAATCTTCCGCGGACCGCAGGTTGTGCACCCCTTCCGTATTGGAAGAAACTTTTTTTTAATGTCAGGACAATACTTTTTTTAAGACAGTTGAGAAGATTCGATTAAGGACAATAAAATGTTTGCTTATAAGTTAATAGCGGACAACGCATTATCTTTTCATTTTGTGACGTAGCAAAGTTAACTGTTAGCGGAGTCAAAATCAGTTTAGTCAAAAAGTAAACATTTGCCCCGACCCTGTTCCTAATCTAAGCAAATACCAGTATTTAAAGCAGGCTTGTTTCTCTCACGTGTCAAAACAAGCAGAACTCATTTTCGTAACAGAACTGATTAAACCTTTTCTGGCTTCAAAGATCAACTTAAGTTACCTTCCATCTATTAGTACTGTTCATTATATGTATGTATTTTAGTCAAGATCTCTTTAACTGATTGAATAAAGCTTTTTCTTAGGTACCTCGTTTCCTCAAGAAAAGAAAATTAGTTTCTAAATACACAAAAGCCATTAAAAGTTATCCGTTTCAATTTAATTCGATTTTTTATGGGGAACATCTTTGACGAACGGATGGAAACAGTATAAGTAACTTATCTTCTGCAGTATGAAATTTATTTTGCAGATTAAAATAAAAAACAACACTTTTAACTTACCACCATTTTATTAATTATTAAGGAAATCAGTACTTGCTAAAGTAAAAAACAATGTCACCAAATTTTGTTTAAATGATGCTGGAATCATTTTCTCAATTTAGAGTGAAGAAATACAAAAGAGAAAGGAATTCTATTTTGCAGAACTTCGATTTCATTGATATTTCTTTCCCTCAGGTGATTGGATTCATCATTTTTCTTCATAACTGAGCCATTAAAATAAATTTTCGAATATCGATCACGTTCTGTTTCAAAATATATCACAGTGAGGAGCAGTTTTATTTTTTAAATCTTAATTTCTTGCTTTTTCTTTTTGTCCATGTTTCACACTCTTAGATTTTAGGTGCATTAGATAGGCAAACAAGTATATGGAACAAAAATACTTTGCTTCGCAAATCTATTATAGCTTGCTTATGGCGTTCAAGTTCTATCTTTTTTAGAAGTGCCAGCCCTTCTTCTGTTCCATCAATTAAAAATAAAGTGCCAGCCGTTATCTTTACTTCCAGGAGTTCCATCATGCCTTTCAATTTTTATCTATTTTATCCACTCTCTAGCCGCATGAGCAATATTTGCTGCAACTTCCTGTAAGGAATCGAATTTTTATCATGAATGGCAGCAACGTTTTTGCGAGATCTGTTTTAATTATGTGAACAAATCTCATTTTAAATCTCTATCATCTATCAATTTGTTCTAAATACTTAGACTAAACTGATTGTTACAAAAAAACTGATTTAGTTTTGATATAATTATACTATTGAGTTATATTTATTTTGTATAGTAAACGTAATTAAATTGTTTTAAATATAAATAAAACGTTTCATTCTGCTTTTTATTATTACTATTATTATATGTACGACGCGTAATAATTAAATTTCAGGTTAATAATATAAGTATAAGAATGTCGGCTGAAATACGTGGTAGGTGCATGCATATGTGATATCGGAGGCTAATTTGAAAATACAACTCTTTGAAAACTGCCAACATAACTTCGCCAAGAGCATTATTTTTTCAAATTAGCCTACGAAATTTGTTACGGAAAAAAGCTTCTCTTAATGCAAAAACTAGCTAAATTTGTATTAAATAATTAACAATATTTAAAATGTTTGCGTGCATATATCCATAGGATATATCCTATGGCGTAATACACCAAAGAGATGCTAAAATGCACAATTTGTTTATTTCTTGATCAATCCAAGGTCGTTAGATTCATGGCGTAACACGAGTCAGATTTATTTTGATCCATCGTATAATTTTTTATGCAGAGATATAATCTACTTTTTGAAGAAGAAAAATATATTTCTCTTTTGCATTTAAATTGACCGTTTCTTAGATTTTATCCACTTATTTATTCAAAATTCGCGATAAAAGTAGTTTTTTTTTTTCTGCGATTGTTTTACGTAACTTTACAAGGAATTAATGTTCGCTGCTAAGTGAATCGTTAATTGTTTCCACTTTAATTTCAGGGACGTAACGAGCGCTTATTCTAATTTGGAAGAAGAAAAAAAGAACATTCTTTATCATCTGCTTTCCCCCTTTTTCCCTCAATCTAAGAGGGAAAAAAGATGATGATGAGTCATTCTCTTTCTTCGAAAATATATATCCTTAATTAACGATCAGTAGTGTTATTTCTTTAACTGTGTTATATTAAAGGAAGTTGACAGTCACAAAATGGAAGCTTAATATTCAAGGTCGATTTAAAACATCTCGTCTGGGTAGTATTTGGTTGGCTAGTTGAGGCGAACGATAAACATTTACCACTGGGCATAAAATCGTGATAAAAATACTTTCGATACGCATAAATCATTCGAGTATCCCAGTAATAGCCTCTGGCTTGTATAAACAATTATTATCTCTTTTACTGTGATTTCTCCGTTACATGTTTAATTAATAGAAATAGTGAATTATTTTCCATCTCTTACAGAGGCGGCTTATTAATGAATTGCTTTCACATTTAGTCATTGCTCACACATTTTGTCATTGCTTCTTTTCGTTTTCGAAATAGCATTTTTAGGAGTGAAAGTTATTGTTCTTTTATCTTATTGGTTTACAAAAGTGAAATTAATTATAAACCACAGAACAAAATGCTTTCAACCGATCCAACAAGTGATTTGTACATTTTATGTTTACATGTTACTTAAAAAAACATCTGAAATTTTTAGTATGAATTTTTTTCTTCTAAGTAATGTAATAATGATGATCATATTTATGGATATATTCAGGGACCCTTTATAAATGTCACGTTTTTCTTCTTTTTTTCTTTTAACTTCTCTTTGTCACTCGGGAGATATACTAGCAGTCCAGACACAAAACACATGTTGTAGGTCAAATTTTAATTTATTTTTTAAAGCTTTAAATTATGTATTTTAAAGACACTTGTGAGCATAACTTTAATCTTTAATGATTGTATGTGTACGTACTTTCATGAAAAAATATTCTTTAAAAAAAACTTAATCAGCTGATTTTAAATGTTTTTTAACTTAACAAAATGAGTGTTTCCTCTTATCACAAGCTATTTCATCTACCTACTCCAAGACTGACATTTGTGGATATTTATTGGATCCTTTTTCATATCCTATTAATATTATTTTAAAATAAGTGGTTAAGGATTACTTATAGTTTTCTGTTTTCACCCTTCCCATCGATTAGCTAAAATTACTAGATATTTATAGTTTTTTTTTTATTATTATTATTTTACGACTCGTGTGTGCTACGAATCGCATATTTAATTGATCACTTTTTGCCGTACTTAATTTGTGCCGATTGCATTGCAAATCCCAGTTGTTTTTCGGCAGTTTCTGCGACGCATTTTCACATAGTTTTAAAAATTTTAATTTTTATTTCGACTTGTAAATTTTAAATCACGTATTTCAATAATTTCTTATTGGCGCACTTTACTCGTGTTAATTTCATCGTAAATTAAATTTCTCTTTCTCTCCTTTTTTTTTTTTTTTTTTTTTTTTTTTTTTTTTTTTTTTTTGCAATTACGGCAGTCGAGGGCTTTTACGGTCCCGACTCCCGTTACTTTAATTACGATGTTAATACGACACGCGAATTTCTAATAGTGAATTTAAATAATCACTATTTGATACAATTTATTTGTGCATATCTCATCGTAAATTTAAGTTATTTTTTCGTCGTTTTGGTAGTTGGCATCATACATTTGTATGTGGTACGCACTAAAAAATATAGATAAAACTAATATATCGGAGATTAACATTAAAATCAACAGAAACAATTTGCATTTAGTTAGTTTTCAATTTTTTAGTATTGAAGTTATAGATCAGTGATTCTCAAGCTTTTTTTTGTCACTGCACACTTTTAACGATTTCAAAATTTGGCGGCACACAAAAAAAAAGATAAGTTTAAAAGTTTTTTACTTACCTATAGTGCACTGTGTAAAATAGTTCATGATAATAATTTGGAATGTTAAATAAAATAATATAATATGTACTACAAAAACAACAGTACTTTTATTAAGGGATTAATTACAAATGAATAAGAATACTTTTTATGAGAAATTTGAGCTTGATGTTTTCTGATAATTTCATTTATATTTGGTCGTAAAAATGACAATGCTACTCTCACGTCCTATTTTATTTTAAAATAATTTATTTTTTATTTTTTTTTAAATTTCAGGTATAGATTTCAAAATTAAGACATTAGATATCAAAGGAAAGAAAATAAAATTACAGATTTGGTAAGTTACTTTTTATTGAACGTCTATATATTTTAATTGTAGTGCTGCTAATTTTTGGATTTCTTGCTAAGGAAATTTTGTAGTTGCATTAGTGGCAGTTAAGAAAATAAGCGGAAAATTTACCGATAAAATTTAAAGCAAAAATTGAAGGAATTTAATTAAACAATGAATTTAATTAAAGTAATTTACTTAAAGCAAAATAATGTTAAAAGCTACAATCAACTATTAAATTCTATGCCAACTTTTGGAATTCAATGTAAATTAATTGAGGTAATTGTTCAGACTATTGCATTCATTTGCTATTCAGCTTTTTATACCTATTTTTAACTTTCAGTGTGAAACAAACATGTTTCTTGAAACATTTAATGTAAAGGTATAAACAAAAATAACTTTTAGAGTCATAAATATTGTTACAAGTTTTCATGTGTACTATGTGAAATGTCTTGAACAGTCTTTCCAATTCTGTAGTTGAGAATACATATAACTGTTAAATACTTAGAACATTTTTGTCAACCTCTTTTGATAGGCTTAACTGGCTTTTGTCAATATAGCCGTCTAATTTTTAAAAAGGTGTATCGTTTATAATTTATTCTAAATTTAAAAACATTTATAAGAAGTTTTACATCGTTACACACCGATCACATTTATATTGCAATACACTGTACATTGTTTTTCCAATTTTTAAATTTATTTTGTAAAAAATTCTACCTTTGTAATGATTTAAATGTGCTAGTATTTGTGAAGTTGTATTTATGTCTTAATCTGAGAAAAATGTCATTTTTTTAAATTAAATTATCCTTTCATTAATTTCATTTCCCTTCCTTTTTGTTCTCATTGAATGTTTCTAAAATGAAAATAATTAAATAAAGTTAACGATAATCCAAGATTGGATTCCTTCCCTTGTCTGTTTTCTTCTCTTTTAGTAATGTTACTATCTTTCTTTTTGCTCTTACTATGTTCAGTCAAGGTACTTACAATCACTGTCATTGCTTTTAAGGAAATTTTCATTGTAATTTTATAATTGTGTAGGGATACAGCTGGTCAAGAGCGTTTCTACACCATAACCACATCTTATTACAGAGGGGCAATGGGCATTATGCTAGTGTATGATATTACAAATCCTAAAAGTTTTGACAATATTGCTAAATGGTTAAGGAATATTGATGAAGTAAGAATTTTTCTTTTTAATTCTTTCTACCATTATAACAAATTATTACTTATCTCTAAAACTTTACTTCCAGCATGCAAATGAAGATGTAGAAAAAATGATCTTAGGTAATAAATGTGACATGGAAGATAAAAGAATGATTAGTAAAGAACGTGGGGAAGCAGTAAGTTCTTTTTCAGCCGTAATTTAAAGCTTTTGTAACTAATTTAAAGCATGTGTTATAAATTCAAAATTCATATTAAAAATTGCTATTTTACATAATTTATTTAAAAACTGTTATAGGCTATCTTATTTTATTCAAATTTTTAAAACTGAGAGAGGCAGCAAAGAGAAACCACTGATTGTATAATTTACTTGTTAAAAAAATCTGTTTTTCTCTCCTAATTTAAAATATATCTTAATTCAGGCTTATAATTAAGATTATAATAATTAGGCACTTTTTAGTAACAAAGTGGCAAATAATTTTGATTCAATATTTTATCTGTTGTGTAATTAATTTTATCTGTTGTGTAATCTGTTGTAAATTAAATTTTGGCATAGTTTTTTATTAAAAACCGCATTGTAAAGTTTGCATCTTTAATGGGAAAAAAAAAAAAAAAAATTATTATGTAATGAAAAATTAATTTAAAATTTGCTTAAGTTGTCTTTTACTATATCAGTGAAGGGATCTCCCAAATTGTTTTCCCTTTGAAATTTTAATTTTTTGTGATTCACTCTTGTTGTTGAATACTATTTAGCAAGATCCCATATTCTTAAACTGTGCCTTTTTTGTGCCATTAACTATTTTTTTTTCTAAATTGCTATTCTCTATTGTTAGTGACGTGCTTATGCAAGTTTAAAATTTTGTCTGAAATGAATACATTTGCTATTAATTATTTGAAGCACTTGCAGGAATTATTTAACTTGCATAAATAATTTGTATATTGCAGTTGTGGAGGGTAAGTAGTGTAAATTTTTTTTTAACGGGTGCATTGAAATATCATGTTAGAATGAAGACAAATCTCTGCTTTTTATACTATAGTGTATATGACTGTTATAATTACTATAGTGTATATGACTGTTCTGTTTTGAATAAACTTCTTCTGTCTTTTTTTTCAGCAAGTAATTTATAAAAAATATGTTCAGTAAAATTATCTAAAAATTTTACAATAAATTTAATTATTTATAAAAAGTAACTATTGTCTTTTTTTCTCTCACTTATTCTATAGATTGCACGGGAGCATAGCATAAGGTTTTTAGAAACCAGTGCAAAAGCAAATATTAACATAGAGAAAGCTTTTAGAGATTTAGCTGAATCGATTCTGAATAAGGTAATAAAGTTTTTAAAATTGTAGAATATGATTTTCTTAAATGTTTTTTCCCCTGTGATTTATTTGCAGCTTACAAATAACCTTTTTTAAAATGTAAAATTGGTACATGTTTATGTATTTTTGAATTTTTTTTAAAAAAATCATGAGAAATCACCTTAAGAAAGCAAAGAAATCCTCTAAAAATATTTTCATCTTTAAATTTTCTAACAATGTTTGACTGTATATCTGTATTTGACTTTTAGTTCATTGCAATAACGACTATGATTCTTCTTAAAACTTTACTCATATATTGGTAAATTAAACTGGATAGTATAGAAAAAATTTTTAGCTTGTTCAAAATACGCTTGATATTACGTATTAATTCTTTAATGTGGTTGCTTAAAAATGAAATAATAGTAACCAAGAAACTTGATGCAACAATTCTCATTATTAATAAGCATAAATATGAATTTTTTTTAAAGATTTTTGAAACATATCTGATGACGAATAATTTTTATAATTTATGTCTTTTGGTTTCTATTTTACAGTTTTTTTGTGATTTTATTACAGCTTCTAATCTAGTTTTTAGTTTCTAGTAGATTTATTGATCCTGTTTATGTTTGATCACTTTTCCAATGTGATACAACTTGTATTCTATTTATTATATTAAATAGAATCCTTAATGAATGACAAAATGAAAAGCTGTGCTACATTTTTATTACAGTGAAGCCAACTGCTCTGATTTCTGCAAAAAAATTTATTAAATATTATAAAAACCAACACTTGCATAATTTGAATTCATTTTGTCAACATTTAAAAGGTTCGCCACTAGAAATCTGGTGCTAAGTGCAGTTTTATATGAATTTTTGAAGTATTTCTGTTAACTCCAAATGGATTTAACTAATCAGAGAACCGTACAATAAAGATAAACTTTGCTATCTTTAGAAGAAGAAAAAAATTGCCCTCATCGTTGAGCAAAATAGCATCTTTCTTATACACATTTGACCGAGGAAAAAAAAATCTACTTTTTCACATATATTAGAATATCTTTGGAGAAAAGGAAACAAATTACCTTGGTTCTCTTGGGAGAAAAAAATATTTAGAATTTCAAATATTTTATTGGTGTGATGCAACTGGAAAATAGTTAAGGAATTTTTTATTTATTTTAATTCTTTTTGGGCATGATGTTTTCCCAATCATATTAGGACATCTCTAGTTCTTCTCTTACATTAAGTGATCAGGAAATGTATTAATTGATTTTTAGTTAAAGATTTCATTCATAACAATTGTAATAAAATTCTTTTTTTTTCTCATGTACACAGCAAATGGCTGGCAAAGAACAGACAGATTTTCCAGATAAAGTAAGGGTAACAACTCAAGATATAAGAGGAATAAGGAAATGCTGCTAGAGTAAGTATTTGTATAGAAGTTAACTATAATGCTTCGATGGCTAGTAAAATAAGGAAATACGTGTAACAGTTTTCTCTAGAGAGTGTAACAATTGTGTCCCATACCTTTATTTCATTTATTTTTCTTATGAAGACTTTTTTTAACTGTTAAAGCTTTCCAGCCGAACATTTTAAAAGCATTAAATTTATTATATGACCCATAATATGACTAACAGCACAGATTGGGTTTGTAAAATGCCATTTCTGTCCATTGTTCCTAACTTTGTAGTGTTATATTGTTAAAAGTAAATTTTTAATGTAAGTAGAAAGCATGCTTTATATATTATATACAGTATATTCTCAATATCTCGAAAATCTTGTTATGTCAAAAAGATATTTTCCTCTTGGCATTACATATCCACCTAATATTAATTTAAACTCCTCTGTCGAAGAGTTTCTTCTCAAAACCTTATGATGCCAAACCTTTTTTGAAGAGGGAAATTATTTTTTGTCAAAAAAATCACAATGTAAGTTTATTGTAAACCAGTTCTTTTTTATTTAATGCATGATTATTTTTGTCTTACTTTTAAAAATTATTACTGTACTGCTGTATTTAGTCAACTATCATTACATGCATAATTATTAGTAGTTATTCATATGTTTCATGACTCTTTTAAAAGTATTATTTTAGACTGTATTTTTCTACTTTTTGGAACATATTTAGATATTGCAAACTTGTTGTTGCAAAAACTTTTGCTTTCTCAAAAATTTTTTTGTGTGTTCCTTCAACCTTGAGATATTGAGAGTATACTGTATATCAGGGGTGTCAAACTCGCGGCCCGAGATGAACATTTTTGCGGCCCAGTCAATATATCCGACACAAAGTAAAAATAAAATAGAAATGTTAATTAAAAAGGAAACTAGCATATAAAATTATGATATACTTTATTTATGAACTATACGAATCATTTTAAATTGTACGCGCGAAAATGTGAAATTCTAATTAGCTTGCGGCACCTGCCATTCCAGGGATACTGCATCGTATCAAAAATACGCAGAAAAAGTTTCAAATCTTAAAACAGAATTTAAAACAAGATTTAAAGATTTTAATTCTTTAGAAGACAAATTTTGTTTGTTTTCGTCGATTTTCTCAATAAATATAGACTCAGTACCCAGTAACATGCAAATGGAAGTGATTGAGATTCAGGGCGGCTCAAATTTGAAGGCAAAATTCATTGAAGTGAGTTTGCCTGAATTTTACAAATATTTACCTGCTAGGTTGGAAAATACTCAGAAATTTGCATATGAAATTATTTCCATGTTTGGAAGTACTTATCAGTGCAAGCAATTATTTTCTGTTATGAATGGAAATAAATCTCCTGTTCAAAACCGTATTAATAAGGCGCACGTTGGGTCATCTTTGAAAAGTAGTATCGGCAAATAAAATTTCTCCCGAAATAGGAAAGATAGTAGCAGAGAAGAGATGTCAAATATCAAACAATAATTTTACTTTATATATGTTTATTACAATGTACTATTCAAAATAAAAATATTTGTTTCTATGAACGCTGATTTTTATTTATTTATTTATTTATTTATTTGCAGCACACCTAAAGTTAAGCATTGTTTATTTGGCCCAAGTTAGCTTTTGAGTTTGACACCCCTGCTGTATATATATCGTTGCTAAGTTACTTGAAATTTTTTATTAGCTTTTTTGTAAATGATGATATCTGAATATTTTGGAAAGAGCTGGTTCCTGTAAGTTTTTCCTCCTAAAATGTAACATAAAACAACAAAATTAGAACATTTGTTTGTTTTTTCCAAATAAGTCCAGTATAATTATAAATAAATGCTTGCAATAGTTTTGTGTACTCATAATATAGTGATCTTATGTTGTAGCATTTGTTTTCATTTGGAATGCAATGGTCATTATACCAAGCATCAATTTGGCATATCATAAGAATACTTCATTATTTAATCCCCTTAAATGTCACACTTTCTAATAAATCGGTCATAACAGTCTTCGGATATAGTGGATCAAGTTTGTGTTAATTAGCTAGTTGTCTGTATTTTATGTGTTGCTTTTGAAAAAGAAATATCTTTTCAATTATCAGTGAAAAGATTAGGCAATGCACAAATAAAACATGTTATTTACTATTCATGTTACTTACTATTATTACTTACTCATGTTACTAACTATAAAGTTATTTACTATTCTTCACCGATTGTCCTGCACTAGAGCCATTCCTATTTTTAATAAATGTTTAACGCAAAATTTAAAAATCCTAATTGTAGTAGTTTTTCCTTAAATTTAAAATATAGTTATATGTATGTATATTATGTATAAGATATGTATTATACCTTGTAATTTTTATTTATTACTTATTAAATTAGTGTAATTCTAAAAGACCAATCAGGAAACAAATGAAAGTTAGATTGACAGATTTTGTATCTAGCTAAAAAAAATTAAGGATGTACTGAATAATTCAAAGCTATTTACTTTTATCACTAAAGTCAAGGATAAAGAATTAAATAGCAAATTTAATCTTAAGTTTAGTTTTTTATATATATACATAAGCAATTCTGTTGCCCATTTGTAATGAATCATGCATTCTTCATTTAACAGAATTAACCATGACATTTAAATCAAGAATAAAGAGTTAATCAAATTTAATTGTTAATTTAGATCAGTGTTTCCCAAAGTGTGCCTCCAGGGGTACGGGAACAGTTTAGAGGGGGTACGCGTTTTTATTCGAAATATATTGCAACAAACGAAACTTTCAAAAGATTTTACTTAAAAACAAAGCTAACCATGAAAATTTACGATTACATATTTTTCTATTGGCTATTTTTTGCAGAGTTAACAGTTAATAATTAGTAGTGTCAGCAGCCAGTTGTGATTTTAAACTTTTGTGCAAATTTTTAATATTCAAAAATACATTCATTTTTTTTTTATAAGAGGTGCACAGCGTTACGAAAAATTTAGAAAGGGTACGCAAAAGTCATAATTTTGGGAAACATTGATTTAGATTAATATTTTGAAAGAAAGAGAAAGAAAGAAAGCAAAAACAAATCATGTTCAAAGCTTTGTTTACTCTGATATATACATTTAATGTCCTGTATCGTTGTTATGTTTTTATTCGTTGATTACATTAAGAGAAAAGGGGAGAAATATATGTAAAAAAATTGTAATTTTACTGAACATAAATTTATCTATTGCATATTGAAACCAATATATTCTTAACTTTTCCAGGTATCTAGATCACTTGCCTTTCTTCATTCATACACTGCTGTCTGGAAATCTGCTTGCAGTACTCCATACATTTTATATTTGCCTGGCTGGACCTCTTTGCCTTAGAGGCCATTCAACCTCGAACTCTGTGCATTCATTAGTCTGCCAGGACTGCAGTGCCACTTCCCAATAAAAGGAGAGAGGCACAACAACGTCCCAATGTCGTCTTGACTGTTTGCCATTTTTATTATAATTCCAAAGAATATTTGATGTTGCTGTGACAAAGTAAAACAAAAATAGTACCTATATAATATAATATAATCTATGCCTAAATGACCTGAAATTTCTTATAATTCTTTTTCTGAAAAAAAAATTTTCTTTTTCATTCAAATAATGACTAGGACCAGGCGGAGTAATTTTCGTCAACAGTGGCTTTTATGTTGTCAATAAATAATAAATAACTTTTAATATGCTAATTGGGCTTACCTAAAACAGGCCTGAATAATGTAACTTTGAAGCACTTTAAAAATTAGTTAATAATTGGCTTATTTGTATTAAAAAATTAATTCACTTTTTCAAAGAGCACAGTTTTCTACAGAAATTAGATAAGGTGATGGCTCTTTTGTGCTGTAAAAATCAAACAGACGTATTTACCTACTGTGCTTCCTTTGTCACATCTAGGTATTGCTTTGTTATTTTATGGCTGTTGTAAAATAACTAAATGCATCATCTTACAAGTGATACAGTTCTGTGAATACTTTTTGATGAATGTAGATAGTTATGTAATTTGTGTAAAAGAAATAGACATTTCAAAGTCAAGCTTTCTTTTTTATCCAACTGTACTCAACAAAATTTGTATGTTATATAAATGTTCGTTAGGGAAGGGATTATATTAAACACTGTATTATTTATATTATCTTAAACTGTGTAATAGTATTTGTTAAAAATTATGCTAATCAATACGAAAACTATTGCTGTTAACGATGCTTTAATTGCTGATTGTTATATTGTAAATTGAAACATTATAAGCATAATTACTATGTCTCTGGGTGTTTTCACCAAAGAAGTGCAGTGGATTGGCCTAGAATTTTTTATACTACTTATATTGTTTATTTCAAAATTTCACAACTACATTTGATTATACTTTTAAAAGAAAAAAAGATTAAACCAATTTTTTTGCTTAAATTAGCAGGTATGTGTTTATAAGGGTATTTGCATTTGTAATGTGCAAAGTTTATAGAGTGTAAAGCTTTACCTTGATCTGTTTATTTCTTTTACATAAAATATAATCATCTGATCAAAATTGTGAAATACTGCTCTGTGATTACCAGATGATTTAAAAATGCTGGAATTCATTTGATATATTTGTAGGCTGTTAAACTTGCCATAAAGCCTTGTTTTTTTATTGATCACATTTTCTACACTTTTTTTAGACGATTGGTAAGAATCAACACTCACAATTGAATTTATACTTTATCATTTGCTGAAGATTATAGTGCTAGTTTTGTACAGTGTTACATTTAAAAAATTAAGTGATTTGAAGTTCCTTTAGGTTGCTCATTTTTATATGATGTTTTTGCTCCAGAATTTGAAAAAGAAAAAGGGGAAATTTATCAAGATTTATAATTATGGGATGTAGATATATATATAATGTGTATATACAAAATTTGTTTTCTTTGTATTAAAAAAATTATGCTTCTTGCGAATAAATTTAAGTTTGTTGCTATGCTTTTTCCCTTCTTAATTCAGTACTGGCAAGTTTTGTTTTGTCTTTTTTTTTCCTTGCAATTTTTCTTTATATTATCCACACAAAAAAAAGTTTTTATTGTAAATTGTGATGTTTTTTTTATAAAAAAAAATTAAATACTTGCATATCAATTTGTTTGGATATTCTTTATTTGTTACAAAAAGGATGAATATTTATAGTTATTTCATATAGAGTTTGTGCAAATACAATTGTCCTATCATTTGTCTTTAATTCATGTGTTTAAAATGTTTGTATTTTCTTTTTAACTACGACCCATATTGTTTTATTTTTCAATACCTCAGTAATGCTCACATAGTAGTCTTTCATATGCTTTTTTTTTTTTAAATATTGTAGTTAATTTATTTTAGAACATTTTCAGTTTGTTTTTGTAAGCATGCATTTAGATCTGCTCTTACCTGCGTTATAGAATAATTTGTTTTTGCTTCCAACGTATATTTCAATTTATTGTTGATGTCCTGTTTATGGTAGATTAAAATCAGTAAAATTTTATGTTGTCTACTTTCCTATGAATTCTTCTTTTAGTCGATTGTTCAATTTAATTATCTCATTTTTCCGAATATACACTCAGACAAAAATTATACATGATTTTTCTGAAAATATTTTTTACAAGATCTGCCCATTTTTAAAATTAAATTCACTTTCTATCACCTATTTTATAAATTAAAAAAAAGTGAGACAATCTTTCCTTAATATGTGTTAACCTTTATCAAGGTGAAATTTACATTTCAAAAGTGAATAAAAAGTTAATATAAACTTCATCACAATATTAGTTGTGATGCTAATTCCTTAAGTGCATTTACAGTCACCATTTGTTTTAACCATTTATGACTAGGTTGTGTAAAAAATTCTTCAGTTCATTAATTTTAAATCTGTAGATTTCTGTATTAAAAATGGTGAAAAAATAAAATTTTTTCAAGAGTAAAGTTGATGTTACAGTATATGTTTAAAAAAATATTGAAAATTTTAAGCATATTTTTTTATCTTATCATGGCGTTAGTCTTATGGTGTAATTGGATAGCCTTCTGTTTGATCAAACTTTCTTCATTTTAGCTCAACTTTTGATATTCTTCTATTAACCTAGATCTTTTAATAATTATGGTTGTATGCTAGCAATAATTTAAGCTGTGTTTTGTTTTATATAAAATTCACCAAATCTAACAATGCATTCAGCATAGAATCGTAATTTATTATTTTTTTAATTCAATCTCTTGCTCTCCTAACAAACTCACTGATAAGAGCCTCTATCATCTCTACTGCCTTTGGCACCATTGCTCTGAATTTATGGCATGTGTTTGCAGTTTTCAGTGCAAATCTGTAAGGTAAAAATCATGCTTGAGCTACCAAAATGTCTGTCTTATGACCAATAGTGCCATTAGATTATTTATTATCCATCCAAAATGAATGATGTAACATTAATAGTCTATTTTGTGCTTTCTCTATGACCTCTCATTTTTTAGAGTTTTATTTTTATATAAACTTTTTGGGAAAATCCATTGCTCAGTTCTCTTTTCATTTTCTTATAATTATATTTTTTGATGTGATGGTGTACAGTTTTTATAAAAGCCAGATAATGACCAGAAATTCCAATTTGTTTTGTTTGAAATCCTACTCACTGTTTAACTTTATAGAATGTGCTGGGGGGGGGAGGTATCAAACATAAAGTGTAAAACATAGAGGTTGCCATACTGTGTTCATATTCAGATTATAACAATATACACTTTTTGAACTTGATTTTCATAGAGAGTAAGACTACATTTTATAGGAATTAATTTATCTGAGAACAATTAAATTTTTACCTCTTCAGTTTTTAATATTGAATGATGATTTCTTCATCTTAAATTATCAACATTCTTGTTTTTAAAACTAATTTATCCATTGATTGCGTTCAGCAATATGTATTTTAGTCAAACATTGTGTAGTCACTTGCAGTATTTTCTGTATAACTAGAATAACATATGCAAACCTGTGTAATATTAGGCATATAAGTTCCCCCCCCCCCCTTCGTCATCAACAATGGAAAGTGGCAAAATAAAAATCATATGGTTATAGAGGTTTTTTTTTTTATTTCCTCCAATGCGTATTAAGTTAAATGTTTAATAAATAACAAAAGTTACGAAAAATTTTGAATAATAAATTTACAGAGTATAAATGCACCTTGAAAGTGTCCTTTTCAATATTGTTGAAAATTTGACATACAAACCATGGTACCTGCCAGTTAATTGTGGATTTTACGTGTTGAAATCCTTAGTCCTGCTTGAATTTTTTCTTCCTGGTTATGTTTTCGTACATAAAAAATTGCATGTCGCTGACCTTAAATCCTACCAAAAGAATAATAATAATTGATATGAAGGTGTTGAAAGTAGAAGGTAAAAGTGGTGTTACTCTGATGGGTATTCACAAAAATTATTTTAAGGTTTGTTTTGAATAAAAAAAACGTTAGACAAAAAAGGCAAATTTGGAGAAGATTTTGAAGGAGATGAAAAAATTTTAACTGACAAATTAATATATTATGCTATATGTCACCATTCTGAGTACTTCTTAGTCACAGTAGGATGTATTTGATATTCAGAGGGGGAATCGCACTCTCCTTCTCCCATGCTAATGGCAACTATTATCAAACTGTAGAAGATTTCTAAAATAACCATTTATAAACTCCCTTTAAGAAAAATCGAAAGTCTTGTGAGCGTGTTTCCCAATTCTGTACTTCTCAGCATCGGTTTCTTCGGTCAAAATCGTTTATTTATTTCAAAATTCGAGGCCTGTACGTACCTGGAATATAAGGAATACAAGATTTTACTCCAGAATATGGATTTGTAGTTATAAGGATTACCCTCACGATCTAGTTAGTTTTTTTATGAAAAAGAGCAATCAATACTATCTTAATCACAAGTTTTTTAAAATTTGAAGGACCTTTCACTATCTAATATTATTAGTAAGTGGGTGGCAAATTTTATCGATCTAAGATTTATCTCAAATCATAGAGTTGTAATAAAATAGACCAAGTTTGCTTTTATATTCTCCCACCTCTCTCTTAGTTCCAAACATAAAGAGTCTCAACAGTTATGTACTCCCTCTCTTTTGGCGGGAAAGAAAAGTTTGTAATATTTTAATATGCATAAACTGTGCAAAATTGGTTACATTTTTATTACAAATAAGAAAATGTTAATTTTTTTTTATGGTTTTTAAAATGGTATAAAATTTGATTATTTAATGAAGTTATTCAAAGTGTTCACTTTTTTATTTTGGGCACCCTTTTTATTCAATCAATTTTTTTTTAAAAAAAGAACTTTTTCTTTCTTTTATGTTATAACGCACAATTTGGATAAGGGAATGCAATGTTAAAATGAAAACTATAACCAGCAATTTCAGTTCACTATATAAAAGATTTAATTATACATGCATTAACTTAGAGCAGGGGTGGCGAACCTTTATGCACCAACATGCCATTTTTTTTCCAAAAAATTGTTTATTGAGGTCATAGACGTGCAGTCAAATTATTTTGCCTTTGTGATTATTGGGAAAATAATAATACTAAATACATTATGAAATGAATATAAATGAAAAAAAATACATTTTGCGATGTCTCAGTTGTACGCGTAATTCAACTTAAAGTAACATCAGTGTGACCTCTATTGTTGCAGATTAGATGACAAATAACTTATATTAGGTTATAAGATGTTAGTTTAAGCAGGACTGTTAAATTTTTTTTTGCTAGTTATTTATTGTTAGCTTGTTTTTTATGGTTATTAATTGTTTTTTGGAATTAATTGTAAATTTTTTTGTTAATAATTGTTTTTGTGAATTTCAATTTAATTGTTAATACGCTTTATAGTAAACTTTGTGATCGGTGGCGTGCCCAGAATATTGTGTCACATGCCATTGGTTCGCCACCCCTGACTTAGAGTATTAAAACCTTTCTAATCTATCGTTAAAATCATAATTGAAGACAATAAAAAATTTCTCAAAATAATATTAGATTACCAAAAGTCAATAAAAAAAAACTAGTTAAATGGTTAGATTATTTAAATTTTAATTAATGTAAAAATTGGTTATCACACACAGTAGAATTGATTGGTAGCAGTTATTTTTTAAATTTAACTGATTAAAAATCTTTTCTTTAGAGTAAGAACAAAGATAACTTTTCTAATTGATTAAATTTCCTGTCGTAAGTAATCGCTCTATCAGTCCATCACTTCATTTTCAGTTGTTAATTTTCACAGAAATTAAATCAAAGAGAAGTAACATATGATGGTTCAGTTATAAAATTAATTTATTAGTAATTCAAAACTTTAATTTGAACATATTAAATATATAGAATGTTTTGGATTGAATGTAATAAATAAAATAATAATGTAAAATATAACTTTAAAATCTAGATTTTTCAAGTGAGCAAAAACGTTGGATGCATCACTTTCTAAAGGCCGAGGGAGGAAAAAATCCTATCACCAACTTAAATTTGTCTCCATCTCTAGAAAGTGATGTTCCTACATTTTTCGTTTTATGTGTGACAAAAAAAATTTTTTCTTTTTAATCCACTTAAAAAATATAGTTTTTAAAATTTTATTTGATTTACTTGTAATTTTATTTTTTTTTGTAGTTCTGAACCTATTTATGTTGGGGGGAGGGGGAGTCCAAATTTCGATTCGAAGTATAATTTTATAAAAATTCTCTAAGTTAAAACGACGATAAGCTTAGCTTTCAGTGGTCCGAAAGCAGTCTTAACTTATTTTGTTAATAGAATGCAAGTAGAATTTGTAGCACCTTGGCTACTTGAAAAGTGATCAAAATATTTACTGATGTTACGTCCTATGTGCCGATAAAATGGTAATAAATTCTGTTATTTGTCCGTGAGACCTACAATGAAAAAAAAAAAAATTTCTCTTAATTTCTGTAAAAATTTAATCATATTAGAAGACATAAAAGAACACATGGAAAGTTTGTATAAAAAAATTAGGTTATATTTCTTAGAATTAAAGTGAAAAGAAAAAAAAAAGTTGCCGGTTGGTCAGGAAATTTTTTTTAAAAAAATAAAGCACCGGAATTGTCAAAATTAGTTTAGTTTCGCTCTAAGATCACAAAAGAAACCGAGAAGTTCACTCTGAAACCCCTTTAAGTTCACTAAAAAATTTTGATTTTCACTAGATCTTCAGCAAAAAGAGTTAAATTTGGAAGTTATATAAATTTATTTATTTTTGTAAACTTACTCTAATTTTATTTAAGAAAAATATTTTTTTTTATGTTGATATTCTTTTAATGGAGTATCAAGATCTTTTAAGTGCTTAGAGCCTCTTAAGTTATTAAACCTATCCTGATTTCACCCAATAATCGCGTGGTTTCATTATGAGGACAAAAATTACTGTCGTGTGTACTATCATATTTAAGCTCTATGTTTCAAATAAATTTTATAAACCTTTTACATTTTTAAAAATAGAATTAAACGACTTCCCCCTCCCTTATTTTCGTTTTTCCCCATACAATTTTTTTTTCTT